CTGGCTCCCGCCTACCCCGCGGGCCTGGGCGCCTTCGGAGTCTACCTGCGCGGCTACCACGGCGCGCTGGCGGACTGGCTGGGTGCCGCCGCCCGACGCAGGCTGCCACTGGCCGACCGCTACGCCCTACTGCATTGGCACAACCAGGTGTACCCCAGGTGAGCGTGCGTGGAACCCCACCCAGGACGCTTCAGGGCCTAAGAACCTTGGAACAGCTGACCTGCAACCTTATTAGCATCTCAGACCCTTCCAAGACCATATACTGTCAACATTGCATTCAACATTGTATAGCTAGAATCCTAGCACTCTAACATCTCCCTTGTAGTCCTCAGATCTTAGCAGTACCTCCAATCTTGCCAGACCTAGAGGCTTAGCACCACTCACTCTTCCAGTCCCAAAATATCAGCACCATTTATCCCTTCCAATGGTAGAACCTTAGCACCATGGGGCCTTCTACAGCCAGAACCCTAGTACCATGGGGCCTTCTAGACTTAGAACCATGGAACCTTCTAGACCCAGAACCTTAGCACGGTGGAACTTTCTAGACCCAGAACATTAGCACCATGGGGCATTCTAGACCCAGAACTTAAGTACTATGGGGCCTTTTAGACCTAGAACTTTAACCCCACAGAACCTTCCAGACCTAGAACCTTAGCCCCATGGGGTGTTCTAGACCCAGAACCTTAGCACTGTGGGGCCTTCTAGACCTACCCTAGCACCATGGAACCTTCTAGACCAGAATCTTAGCATCATGGAAACTTCTAGACCCAGAACCTTAGCACCATGGAAACTTCTAGACCTAGAACCTTGTTATCACTGTTGACATTTCAGTTGTGGCATCATAGCACTCTCTGCTCTTGCCATCCTAGGACCTTAGCGGCCTTAATCCTTCTAGCTGTGAACCCTTAGAACCTCCGACTAGAACCTCAGCACCACTGACTCTTCCAGACCTGGAACCTTAGCAGTGTTCTTTGCTCCAGTCTTCCCACCGTGTTAACACCATGAACCCTTCTAAACCTAGAACCGTTTATTAGCACCACTGACCCAGCCCCAGTACTGTTGGCATTTCAGTCCTTGGAGACATAGAACCTCAGCACCATTGCCCCTTCCACACCTAGAACCTTAGCATTATTGACTCTTCCAGATCTAGAACCTTATAGCACCACAGGCCCTTATGGACCCAGAACTTTATTAGCACCACAGGCCCTTGCAGAGATCTAGAACCTTATGAGCATCGTTGACACTTCCCGACATAGCACCTTACCATCACGGACCCATCCAGTCTGAGAACCTTACATCCCAGACACACTCCTAGAATCTTAGCACTACCCACTCTTCCAGTCCTAGCACTGCCCAGCCTTCTGGTCCTACAACCTTATCACCATTGACTCTTAAAATCCTAGAACCTTAGCCCTATTGACCCTCTCATTCTGGAACCTTTGCACTTTTTGCCCCTTGGAACCCTGGAATCCTTACATTACTTTCACTCTAGACCCTAGGGTATTAGCCTTGTTGGCTCTCCCACACTTAGAACTTTAGAATTGAGGACTCTTTCAATCCTAGAACCTTAGTACAGTGAGCCTTCAGATCATGAACCTTAGCCTCATTTCCTCTTTGGATCCTACAACCTTGACATTGTTGACGCTTCTGGTTTTAGGACATTAGCACCATTGACCCTGCCAGTCCTAGACTCATAACGATTAAGCCTTTGAGTCCTGAAACATACCCATTCTTGTGGCTGGGTGATGGAACATAGTGATTAGCTATGACTGGATTAGGTACGCACTCCAAGGAAAAGGGAGTTCGCCACACCCAAACCACATGTGGAAGAATGAAGTGTGGGTCCTCCAACAAAATCAGGATGCTACCCCCAGAAGAACCGGATAGCAACAGCCTACATCAGCCACACAGATGCCATTTGGGAATACGTGCTAATGGGTTCCCTCATTCCATCTGTGAGAAACTGAGGCAGAATGGGGAGTCTGCAAAGCTTCCTGGAGCAGGGGGACATGAGTTAATTCCCATTTGTCGGGAGATAGCATTTCTGGCTGAGTATGCCATGAGCAGAAACCATGGGAGGAATGGGGGTGGCCAATGATGCTATTGCACAGGCTTGGGCATGCGAGAGACTGCAAGGGGGGGTGAGGCCTGGATCGGGGAGGGCCGACAGGGCAGGTGAGATGGCAGGGCTGGGAGCGGAGGTGCAAGGGAGCTTCTGTCTCAAGCAGCCAAGCGTGGGTGAGGCTTTGCATGCCAGAAAGAGCATCAAGCCTAGGCTTGACCCCACAAGTCTTGCCCGGACACCATCCATCAGGGAGCTGACTCAGAGCTGGAGCCAGGAGAGCGAGGATTCCAAAGACTTCCTTTGAGGGATGAGCAAAGCTGGCTGAGAGAGGAAGGGAGTGGCCCAGGGTCGGTCACACAGCGGATGTCAGGAGATGGGGATGAGTCCAGTGGCCCAGCCCCACCCCTCACAGACCTCTTTGTCTCTTATCGCCCACCCCCAGAGAGGTCCTAGGGCTGGTGGACATGGTCGCCCTGGAGAATGGCGAGCTGGGACCCCTTCTGTCTCCCGGCACCCTGCGGGGTTTGGAGGATGAATGTGTCACAGATGTCAAGGTATCTGGGACTTGGCACTGGCAGTTCGAGAGTGGGAGGGGAGAGTCACAGTGGCCTTGGGGTGGGCCCCCTCTCCTCCCCTCTTTCACTATTTTCATCTTTCTTTTCCTTTTCCAAACTTCGGAGTTCTGCCCCAAAGTCCTGCTACCTTCCAAGACACAGAAATGTAACTCATATGGTCATTTCTGTCTGATGCTCAGCATCATGGCCCAAGCACCCAGCCTGGCATTGAGACACTCAGTCAAGGTTTAATACATTCAGACACTTCAAATCTCAGAGCCACAGGAAGTTCGTTACAGAACCACCACTCATAGACCCAAAGGCTTGGCATCAAAGTGTCTTCTAAGCTGTTTGGTCACACACAGGTCCCACAGATCAGACTGGCCTTAGACGTACACACCCAGTCTGGCCAGGGCAGTGCCCATTACCTGGAGGCCAGGCCTGCCCCCAACCACAGAAATCTGACTCTTGTCAACTTGGGAGCCTAGGACCTCAGAGCCAAAATGTCTATTTCCTCAGACCCATGACCTGGAGGCAGTTGAACAGAGCCAGAGATGTGCAAGACTTTAGAATTCCAGACACTTTGTCAAGTCAGTTCCAATTCATGGTGCCACCATGTGTTTCAGAGTAGAACTGCTCCATATAGTTTTCTTGGCTATAATCTGTATGGAAATAAACACCAGGCCTTTTTTTCTGCAGCGCTGCTCAGTGGGTTAAATGTCAGCCTTTAGTTGAGTGCAAATGATTAGACCCTTCAGATTCTTGAATCCCAGGATCTGAGAATCTCTGCAGAGCCTGAAAGCAGAGTCTTAGATCTGTCAAATAATGAACTCATAGACCCTTTAGCCCTGTTAGACAAGGGAGGCTTAAAACCTTGATGCTCATTGGTTAGCAAGCTTGAGTTTCTGCTGATGATGGAAAATTTGGCAACGATAATTGGTGAGGGTTGCATAACATGATGACTGTGATTGATATCACTAAATTGGATGTGTGAAAAACGTTGAATAGGCAAATATCGTGTTACATATTTTTTCTCCACAATAAAAAAGAAAAAAAAATGAAACCACTGGATTTTTTTTATTGTGGTAAAATATATATGTATACATTGTATAACAAAATAATTGCCATTTCAATGTTTGTTCCCGTATGACTCAGTAACGCTAATTATGTTCACCATATTGTGTAGCTCTGTGGAAAAAATGAGGTGGTCTGTTTCCATAAAGATTGACAGCCTTGGAAACCCTCTGAGGCAGTTCCGCTCTGTCCTCTAGGAGCGCTGTGAGTCAAAATAGACTTGGCATCAGTGGGTGTGGTTTGGGGTTTGCTTCTGTAAATGTTGTTGTTATGCGCTGTTGAGTCAGACTGGACTCATAGCGGCCCCTCCTTGGGTTTCCGAGGCAGTATCACTACAGAAGTAGATTGCCCAACCTTCCTTCCGAGGAGTGGCTGGTGGGTTTGAACCACTGGCCTTTTGGTTAGCAGTCAAGTGCCTTAGCCACTATGCTACCAGAGCTCTCTTGGAAACTCTGTGGTGCAGTTCCATTCTGTCCTCTAGGGGCGCTGTGAGTCAGAATCGACTCCACAACAGTGGGTTTGGTTTGGGCTTTGCTTCTGTGAAGATTGACAGCCTTGGAAACCCTGTGGTGCAGTTCCATTCTGTCCTCTAGGGGCGCTGTGAGCCAGAATCGACTCCACAACAGTGGGTTTGGTTTGGGCTTTGCTTCCATAAAGATTGACAGCCTTGGAAACCCTTTGAGGCAGTCTACTCTGTCCTCTAGGGGCGCTGTGAGTCAAAATAGAGGACGTCAGTGGGTGTGGTTTGGGCTTTGCTTCCCTAGAGGTTTACAGCCTTGCAAGCCCTGTGGGGCAGTTCCATTCTGCTCTGTAGATCACTATGAGTCGAAAACAACCCAGTAGAAGTGGGTTTAGTCTGTTGTTATTTTTTATCTTGTGCCCATCACCCTTAACAGAAGCTGGATGCTCCCTAAGCAATGATGCCCCTTGCCCCCTTCCTCCCACCCCTGGGAACCACTAAGCTGCTTTGGTCTTTATGCGTTTGCGTATTGTAGAAACCCCGTGTAGATGGGATCACACACTATCCTTTATGTCTGACATTTACACAGCATCATGGTGTCAAGCTTCCTCCATGCTGTAGCCTGTATCAGCACTTATTTCTCTCTGTGGCTGACTATGCCATTTTCTATGTAGACCATACTTTAATTTTTTAAATAACATTTTGTTGTGTTTCCAGGGAAAGTTTACACAGCAGATAGGTTCCCATTTGACCACTTCTACACAAATTGGTTCTGTGACATCAATTCCGATTTTCACGATGCGTCCATAATGTGTTCTGGTTCTGTTTCCGGTGCTTTAGTTTCCCTTTGGCCTTATCTTTGCTTGAGAGTCATTGTTGACCTTTTTGGTCTCATGTAGCTAGGTGTTTTCTTTTTTTTTTTTTTTTCCCCAATGGAGCCGCATGTTGTTGTTGTTGTTGTTGTTATTTGCCGTCGAGTCGGCCCCGACTCATAGCGACCCCTCCTTGGGTTTCCGAGGCAGTATCACTACGGAAGTAGGATTGCCCAACCTTCCTTCCGAGGAGTGGCTGGTGGGTTTGAACCGCCAGCCTTCTGGAGCCCATACTCGTGGCTAATATCCTCCTTTATTTTGTGTGTCAGTCTGTTATTTTGCTAATAGGGCATAGATTCGCTTCAGGGTTTAAACATCCATTGAGTTTTTGATAGACACTTGGGTTAAGCACTGGGCTGCTAAATTGAATCCATCGGCTGCTCTGTGGGAGGGAGATGTGGCAGTCAACTCCCATAGAGATTACAGCCTTAGAAACCCTGTGGGCAGTTCTGCTCTGCACTGTAGGGTAGACAAGAGGCCAATCTATGGCAATGGGGTTTTAATGTTTAATCGTGTGTAACGTATTTTAATGCAAAGTGCACATTAAAATACGGTCTTTTGCAAACTGTGCTGCCCATTTTGAGTTAGTTTCCTGTGCATGGCATGCGTGTTATATGTGTGGGCGTGCTATATGCAAAAAATACCGTCTATGCCATATCTTGTTAATCCTTTCATCTGTTCATGGGCATTTTGGCTTTTCTTCCTCTTGGTTATAAATTGTGGACTTGGGCATGGCATGGGGGAGGGGAGTTTTGGGGTCCAGCCTGCCACCTCCACATCACCTTGACTGGCCTCAGCTATGCGCTCATGAGTAGAATCTAGAGCACTTGGGGCTTAGGGAGAGGGGATCATGGGGGAGACAGGGAGACAGAGACCCTCAGGCCAGCCAGCCCCACTCCCCCTCTCGCCCATCTCCCCAGGCTCAGACTCGGGCAGCCCTCCTTCGAGTGTTGCAGGAGGATGAAGAGCGCTGGGGGGCCATCGAGGACCAGCCCGGCAGCCTGGCCCAGGATGTCTGTGAGGTAGGGGCAGGAAGGAGGGGGCTGGGCAGTGTGGGGTGGGGAGGCGGGGCCTCGGCTGCTCATGCCGTCTCCTCCTGGACCACGCAGCTGCTGGAAGAGCACACGGAACGTGCACCCCGTATCAGCCAGGAGTTTGGGGAGCGGATGGCCCACTGCTGCCTGGGGGGGCTGGCCGAGTTCCTGCAGAGGTATGGGGAGGAGGGCCAGGCCTGGGGTGTCCGGAGCCCGGCCTCCAACAGAGGGTGGAGAGATGGAAGGGAACATAGCAAGGATGGGGAAGGGTGTGCGGTGGGGATCCCGGGCTCTGGGGGGGCTAGTGGCTGGCGGGTGGTCCACCCAGCGATGCCCCACCTCTTTTCCCTTCCCATCTCTTCCTCCAGCTTCCAGCAGCGTGTGGAGCGGTTCCATGAGAACCCAGGAGTCCGGGAGCTGCCGCCCGACACTTACATCAGCAGGACCATTGCCCTGGTCAACTGTGGGCCCCCCTTACGGTGAGAGTGTGCAGTGTGTGAGGGGGAGGCTAGATCCGGGGGACAGGTGAACTGAGGTGCCCGGACCCTGATGGGGATGGCAGGGCTGGCCTAGTGAGGCATGCAGGTACAAGGGGCCTTAGAAACCTAGGATCTGGGAGTCCCAGAAAGGGCCGCGACATCTATTCTAATGATAGAATAATCATGACATTGGAGAGCTGGAAGGGCCTGTGTGGCACAGTTTGAGCTCGACTGCCAACCTAAACGTTGGTGGTTCAAACTCACTCAGCGGCTCCATGGAAGGAAGACTTGGTTCCAAGAAAACCCTAAGGAGAAGTTCTACTCTGACACGCAGGGTCACCGTGAGTTGGAATCCACTCCATGGCATTTTTTTTTTTCTTTTGGTTTTTGGAGTTAAAATTACAGAAACCTGGACACTACACTCCAAGACTGTGAAATACAGATAAATGTATATGTATTTTTTGGCCTTCTTGTGGCATAGTGCCTAAGGGATTTGACTGCCATCCAGAAGGCTGGCGGTTCAAACCCACCAGCTACTCCTCGGAAGGAAGGTTGGGCAATCTACTTCCATAGAGATACTGCCTCGGAAACCCAAGAAGGGGTCGCTATGAGTCAGGATCGACTCGAGGGCAGTGAGTTTCTTAAAAACTAACTTTCATTTTTTATTGGACTGAAAAAACAATGTGTGATGCATTCACACGGTTCCCAATTCATAAGGTATCTTTTCCCAGGAGTGTAAAGTCTCCCCTCACCCCGGTTCCCACCCCTGAGACAACCAGAATGACTGGCCTCTCCCATGTCTTTGCAGGGACAGTGTGTACAATTACTGTAAAGATGTGGAAGGAACTGTGTGTTTGCATATGTGCGTATTTTACACACAAGTAAATGAATTTGTACATCTTATAAATATGGTGGGAGCCCTGATGGTACAGTGGTTAAACCTCTCAGCTGGTAACCAAAAGGCCAGTGGTTGGAACCCACCAATTGTTTCTTGGGGAAAAAAATGAGGCAGTCTGCTTCCATAAAAATTTATAGCCTTGGCGAGTAGCAACTGGGATCTTAAAAGCTTGCAAGCTGCCATCTAGATGCAGCGATGGGTCTCTCCTCATCCAGAGCAAAGAAGAATGAAGAAAACAAAAAATTCATGGACACAATTAG